AGTCCTTATGCCTGGCTCCATCGTTAAAGTGGCGCTAGGTGAGCGCGTCAGATCGGTTGGCGTTTACATTAAAAGCGGCGGTAACACGCGCATGCGTCCCAAATCTAGATCAGAGTGGCAGCGGAAACTCTGCAAGGTGCTTGTTGACGTTTGTCTTCTAAACGGAAGTTCCAAGGTGAATCCATCAGCTATAAAGGAAACAACCAACCATCTATCATATCTGCAGCTGGAGGTACATGGCAATCGCACCTTCGTGGGAAACACTTTACAGTGGCGTGAGATTGGATTTGTGATCGAAATAAAAGGACGCGAAAATGAACTAGTTAAAAAGTACTTCGCAATTAATCTGCATTCTCAACGGTTTCGCAGATCTTCGTGTAGCAAATTTTGTACAGGATCAGTTTCTGGTGAAAGCAGTAATTTCCCTGACTATGACCAACACAGGTGCTGTGGCGATTGCTGGAGTGGATGCGGTCCGGTGGCCTGGGCTCAGGTGTTTGGGTACTACGATAGACTAGCACACAGGTTTTACTCATCCAAGTTTAGTTCATCGCTATTTAAAGATCGATACATCATGGCCCCATTAAAGATGACATATGCAGTTCAGCGCTTCGTGGAGGACATTCGATTACAGGTCGAAACATACTGTACAAGTACAGGAGAGGGTTCCACCTACACAAAAAAAATGCATTTGATCGCCCCATGGTTTCGCGCGCGACAAGGTTACAGATCTCGAGTCGTCAGCTATCTCGAAAGACGCAAAAAGAGGAGTGTCGGCGGTGCAAGAAGGGAGTATGGAAGCAGGTCCTGGATTCAGTCCAAAGGTGTTGAATGGCTCAAAAAGGACTATCCGGTAGTCTTTAGCTTTCCCGTGGAAGATGGCGGACATTCGGCTGTCGCAACGAAATACCGGGAAAAGGTTAGAAGTTATCGTCATTGCACCAGCAGGCAAACTGGATGGTGGTGGTGGAAGAAAACCAAATCAGCGTGCTCTTGGAGAAGAGCCTACAACTACGAGTTCTATCTACATTATGGCTGGGGAGGTAGCAACAATGGATGGCGCACAATTAATCCCTGGGGTGCCCATGTTGCCTATCTAGACTAAAGGCAGCCTGTTGATTCGCCCCATGTAAGATAATCCAAGATTCCACGCTGTAGGTTTCGGATTCCAGATACTGGATTCTGGATTCTTTGTCACTGGAACATGGATTCCGAATTCCAACTGGTAACAGAATCCGGCTTCCTTTCGCAGAATTCCAGATTCCAAAGCCAAGGATTCCCGATTCCACATGCAAAAAGTTCGCTGATTCCGGAATCCGGATTACCTTACATGGGGCGACATTAATTCACTCAAGCAAGATTAGGGCCTGGGTCTTTTCACATTTGTCATGATTTTTAAGCGGGGTAGTCTCATGACGTCACTAAAATTTAAAGTACTAAACCATCGACCCTACTAAGATTTTACAGTTTTTAATTTTCATACACATTTTCACTTCGAAAGGGTTCTTGGTTTTGTGATAGAGTACGCTTAAATTTCTAAGCTTTTGCGTGACGCGGCATTTGCATAACGGCCGAGAGAGCTGTCATGTAGGTAAAAAAAATGACTTGTTTCGGAGAATCTTGTTATCTAAACAGTTCATGTATTAAAAAATCATTGCTTTAATGTTCATGAGTTCCTCGAGGAATAAATTCACGCTTTTGTAACAAAACTTTGATACATTTTTTTCTGTTAGTTTTCGTCCGCCATGTTGGTGCCCATCCGGATGGGCACTAGCATGGCGTCTTCATACAAATCTCCATAAATTTGGGCAAAACATTTCTCCAGATATCTCGTATACGAAATATTCCTCTGACCTGAATCTTGGCGAGGGGGTTGGATATTTAGCTCCTTTGTTTCCCAGATTCTGGACTTTAACTATTGAACGGTTTTGAGTTTTATTTTGATCTATTTTGAATGGCGTGACACTGAAAACCACAATAATTTAAGGCCAAGAATAACCAAGAAATTTTCTAATTTGACTTTAAAAATTGTTTATAACTGTATCACATGACCAGCCACGCCCTCTTTTTACCGGATCCAGACCTCGAGACAGGGGGGAGGGGGGGGGGGGCGGTCATTCAGACCATTAACAAATGGGGAGGGCCAGCCTCTAAAAAGTGTTTTCCCTCTTCCGGCCT